GGCCGTGGAGCAGTTTTTTTTTTTTTTTCTTACCTGTCGTTTATCTCGCGACCTATCGCTGACGAATGGAACAAAAAAAGAAAGAAAAAGAATATAGTCGGAAGAGGAGGAGGAGGAGAGAAGAGGAAGGAGAAGAAGACGAGGGGGAGGCGGGGGAGGAGAGAAGAAGAAGAAGAAGAAGATGATGATGATGATGATGATGAGAGGGGAACGGACGGCTCCACGGCGACGGGCGACGGGCGGCTCCACGGCGCTGGCGACTCCAAGACGCTGGCGACGGGCGACGGGCGACAGGCGGGTCCACGGCGACTGGGGAGTGAAGCTCCCAGGCGATGGCTACGGGCGGCTGAACCACGAACTGCGCCGGCGGGGGAAGAGCAAGGCCCCGTTTGGACAGCCGATGCAGGCCGCGGCAGTCATTCGGCTGTTCAAACGGGTCGACGTTTTCCCTCCAAACATCAAACGGCCCTCTGGCCGTCGATCATGGATGATCGACGGCCGGAGGGCCGTCACAATTTCAAAAAAAAAAAGCTGGCCTCACGGGCCCGACTCGCCTATTTTCAGGCCTGGTCGGACCCGGTAGGCCCTGGGGACCCAGCCGACGGCGATTGGGGGTCTGAACCCCCCCCCCGACAAGGTGTGCTGGGGGTGCCCGGCCCCCAACCGGGCCTCCCGCCCGGCCAGGCCGCCCGGGACCTCCCCCGGGCAGGCGCTGGTCGACCGGGCGGCCCGGATCCGTACTCAGAAAAAAAGTGCATTTTCGCGGATCCCACAGTGTTCCGAACTCGTAGGAGGTCCCGTTAACTTAGGAGGCGAGTGGAAACATTTGTCATCGTGGCGGGCAGGGAATGATCGGCGCCGAAAAAGATGTAAGGAAAATCGAGGAGAATGCAAGAGAGGAAAAAGAAGGGGCACTTCTTTTTTTTTTCTTTTTTTTTTGGTAGTGTCCGTTTGGGTGGGCTGGTTTGTCCCTGGTTCAGTTCGCTGTGTGGCACGGCAGGCCCAAACGGCAACTGTACGACGGGCTTCGGTCCCGGTAGTGTCCGTGCTACTGGACCGTTTTCCTATCCCAACAAACCCGCCCAACGAAAACCGCCACATCTTTGCTGCATTACTCACATCCATTACATGTCCTTTTTTCCAAGAGTTCTGTTTTTTCTCTTTTTTTTCTTTTTTTTTTCCCCAAGCGTTTCTATGGGTTTGCAGCTATCATTACGTGTGAAAGCCTGATTCCCTCTTTGTGATTGACCCTGATGTTCACATTCACATGCAGCAAAAAGTTTGATTGCCTCTTTGTGATTGACCTTGATGTTCACATTCACATTCACATGCAATAAAAAGTGTTTTTTTTTTTTTTTTTCAAATAGCTAATTTTAGAAAGGCCATCTTGTGCATCATGTGATAGGAAACGGGTGTTGAAAGCTCTTTGTGATTCTCCTTTCTGATTTCCTCACGCCACTCACGGTGGATGCTTCTTGCCTGCAGTTACACGTGGCCAGTCAGGAAGGAAGGTGATTTGCCATCCATTCTATGGAGCTGCATCATACTGGTGGAAAAGCCCTTTCGGAGCATTCCCATGGACCGCATACCGCTGTGCCTACCTCCATCACCCCGCGTGTCCTGAGGTACAGGTCTCTCACGACTTCTCCTCCATATGTCTGTGCGCTGTTCTTTGCCGGAGGACTACTGCTCACGAGTGTGATCTTGAGGACCTCAATCGCCGAGCCCGGCAGCGACCAAGAGAGCTTGCGCCTGCTCCAGGCCTCTGTTGTGGCTCCACCTGTGTCTCCGCCATCTCCGGTCTCCGTTATGCCCCCCGCAGCACCACCATCTCTGGCCTCTGGCATGGTTCCCCCCCCAACGCCCCAATCTCCAGGGTCTGTTATAGCTCAACCTGCAGCACTGCCATCTCTGGCCTCTGTTAAGGATCCACCTGCACGGTTTGCACCCCGACCATCTCCGGGCCGGGCCTCTCTTCTGCCTCCCCCTGCGCCACAGACATCTCCGGCCTCTGGTATAATGGCTCCACCCTCAGGGTCCCCATCTCCAGCCTCTGTTTTAGATAGACGTGGAGCCCAGCCATCTGTGCCTCAATCATTGCCTATTTCAACGGCTCTTACAGGTCCTGTGACTCTGCCATCTCCAGCCTATGTTATGAAACCACCTGCTGCTACCCCACCATCTCCACCCTCTGTTACCCCTCCCCCTGCGCCACAGACATATCCGGCCTCTGGTGTAATGGTTCCACCATCAGGGTCCCCATCTCCAGCCTCTGTTTTAGATAGACCTGGAGCCCAGCCATCTGTGCGTCGATCGTTGCCTACTGCAAGGGCTCTAACAGGTCCTGTGACTCCGCCGTCTCCAGCCTATGTTATGGAACCACCTGCTGCTACCCCAGCATCTCCACCCTCTGTTACCCGTCCCCCTGCGCCACAGACATATCCGGCCTCTGGTGTAATGGTTCCACCATCAGGGTCCCCATCTCCAGCCTCTGTTTTAGATAGACCTAGAGCCCAGCCATCTGTGCATCGATCGTTGCCTAGTGCAAAGGCTCTAACAGGTCCTGTGACTCCGCCGTCTCCCGCCTCTGTTATGGAACCACCTGCTGCTACCCCACCATCTCCAGCCTCTGTTATGCCTCCCCTTGTGCCACTGCCATCTCCGGCCTCTGCTATGGCTCCACCATCTACTCCAACGCCAGAACCGACGGTTCTGAACAAGTCATTGTTTGTGAATGCATCAGTCAGAGTCGCAATCTACCACCCAAAGGAGTACGCTAGGTTCGCCACATCTCGTGAAGACTGTGCGCGAATCATCTATCATCTGGTGCCGCTGGCGGTCTCTTCTGCCAGTTGCAGTCTCTACTATATGCTGGCCGACTTTTGCTGGCCCAGTGGGAAAGCCGAGTGGGTAAGCATGTCCCTTAGGAGAGCGAATCTCTCCCTGGAGCAGCAAACTCCTATCTACCCAGACACGGACGAGTCTCTCGTTGTCACGTACTGGTGGCCGTATTCCACACCGAACGGAACACGTATCTCTGGCTCTGGCCAGATCAGCAACGAGACGATGGCACGGTTTCTGGGATTGAATATCGCACGGGATGGGACACATCTTTTTCTATTTACGATTCCCAGTACCGGCGGGGGAGGATCATCAACGATGACGTCGATATCAACAGTTAACGGTTCCCGTCTCTCTGTCGAGGTAGGGGAATTCAACGACGCTACCTTTTCGACGGCCCCAAACAAGACAAGTCTTTACGTGGTGGAGGACGCTTACAATTCCTCCTTGGCGATACTTCATACGCAGCTTAGTGATTCGGGGATGCCACTCAGCGTCGACCCCACAAGGAGAGAGATACGCCCTAAAGAAAGTAGTATGGGTTCCAGGGCTAGAAGCATGCAGCTGTTCTTCCAGAGCGGCATTGCAGACGGGAGGTGCTTTTACTTCTCCGACACAACCCAGAACAATGTGTGGGGATTCGATCCCTTGACCTATGAGTATACTCTCATCGCGGGAACGGGACAGGAGGGCGCCGCTAATGGGGATGGCCGCAGTTCTTCGTTCAGATGGATGACACATTTAGCGACAACTCCGGATGGGTGCAATGTCTTTGTCACCGAGGACCCAAATGACGAACGCCCCAGCTCCGTTCGCTGGCTACAGCTTGATTCTCCCTGCACCACGGCCACATCCGTCTCAACCGTCCTCGAGGCTCCTCGTCGTAGTGGGGGGTTTAAGAGCTTAGCGCTGCATGATTATGATAGTGGCAACCGTCTCAGACTCTACGTAGGAACCGATGATGCGGTTATTTACGAGTTGGAAATGAACAAGTCTACCCTACCCACATGTGCACGTCCTCCTCCCCACCGTGACCCCATCATCCCTGATTGGGTTTCCCGCATTGCGATCTCTATTCTTGTGGGATTCGCATTGGTGGTGACCATTGCCATTTTTGTTCTAGTTATCGTCAGGCGGCGGAGAAGGCATCCCCCAGCAGCTGAGGAGGGGCCGGGGGGCGGCCGGGTATCACTGTTCCTCAGCAGCTGTACCAGCATGTCGACAAGCACAACATCGGGGTCGGGGTCGGGGTCGGAGTCGGGGTCGGGATGGGAGAGGCGGGGGAGGGATATCAACTTGTCTCAGATAAGGCAGTTTGATTTAGCGACCTTGTCGCTCTGTACTTGTAATTTCGACGATCGCTATCGGATCGGGCAGAAGGGGGCATTCGGGGAAGTATACAGGGGCAATATCGACGGTAAGGAGGTGGCAATCAAGGTGATGGCCGGCGATCTCACGAGGGAAAAGCGGAAGCAGTTCGTTGCGGAGGTGAACGCATTGTGCAGAGTCAATCATGTAAACCTGATTGAACTGATCGGCTTTTGCGAAGAGGGAGATCGTTGCATACTGGTGTATCCATACTTTCGAGGGGGAAGCCTGTACGAGCGCCTGCAAAGCAAGCAGAGCCTCGGCAATGCCCAACTTGAGAAGAGTCTTCTGCCGCCGTTGACGCTTGAGGAACGCATGAGAATAGCCTTCCAGATCGCGCTGGCCTTGAACTATCTCCATGGGAGCACCAGGCGACCAATCATCCATCGGGATATCAAGAGCAGCAATGTCCTTCTAAGCGACGGCAAGGGAAATAAGCTTCATGCCGTTCTCGCAGATTTCGGGTTGGCGACGATGGGGGAGAGAGTTTTTGGAGATGACCAACACGACCTCATAGAGACGGCCCACATTAGCGGCACATTCGGGTACATGGCCCCCGAGTACCTGCTCAGAGGAGAACTGTCTGAGAAAAATGATGTGTACGCGTTCGGAGTCCTCTCTCTCGAACTTCTCACGGGGAGGAAGGCCGCCACACGGGCGCCTTCTGGGACGGAGGGCGTGCTGACGCTGAGGGAATGGGTCAAGCCATTCCTTGAGGGAGGGCAGCAGTCTCAGACCAAAGTGCCCCCCTGCGATCCTGCTCTTGAGATGCTCCGGGCCTTTCTGGATCCTTGTCTGAGGGATGAAGTGGCCGAGGCTTCAACAACAGAGATGGTTATGGATATGATCCAGTTGGCCTGGGTGTGCGTCAAGATGGAGGATGATGAGAGGCCCACGATGAATGTGGTGGTCCACCGCATTCAGGGAATTCTGGAGAAGGCTACATGTATTCAGCCAAACATCTTCAAGTTGGGGGTTGAACAAGCCTAATAAAGGTGTTTTTTTTTTGTTTTTTTTTTTGGGTGGGTTGGGGGGGGGGGGGGGGAGGAAGGGAGCGGGGGATAATCTACCTGTTTTGTGTTTGTTTGCACCGCACCTTATAAATGCCAAAAAAAAAAAAACCTGCCTGAAAGGCCGTCCTGTCCAGATTTGACAGGTACTTGGAACTAGCCTAATTTACTGTGGTGACCGCTGTGTCTCCTCCTTCAGGGTGGGCCGGTGATGCCCTCCTCGCTAGGGGGACGCAGAAGCATTTGCCAACGGACACAGGGGCCCGTTTCCCAGCTTGTATAATAAAGTTTGTTATTTAAAAAAAAAAAAAGCTCCTGAAAAAAAAAGGAATTTCTATGAAGCAACTACTATGCGACGAAACTGGGTCCCCGCTCTCGTTGGAAACCGGCTCGCATTGGCTGACATGGGTGAAAAATGACATTTTTGTGGTGGGGGATCTCTGGGATAGCCAGAGAGGCACCTGGAGTCTGCAGAGCAGCTGCGACAAAACCTGAGACACGTCAAGAATAGCCACGAAAAACTCAACTTCATCCACTGCGCGGTCCCACCCTCATGGGTGGCAACCCTGCAGAACGGCCCGACAGTGCGCAGCCAAGATTGGGTCATAAGGAACACGGCCAACCCGATCCCCATGACCATCTTCAGGGTACACCACGACACCGACCAAGGTACGCAGTTGCAGGCCTTCACTCCGGAGGTTCCGGGGGCGCGTTGGGCTGCACTAAAAAGGGACCCGAGCTCGGACTGCGTGCTCTCGACGGAAGAGCTATCCAGAATCAGAGTGGTCGGGGACGAGGACACGGGCTTCTTTGCCTATGAAATGACCTCCCGGATCTGTGCTCTCCCATTCGACCCTGACGAGTGGGAATGGAAAGGAAGAGAACCCACACAGATCTGGCAATATACGGTCAAAAGTGGATACAAACAGGCCCATAAACTCCAGTCCTCTACAACGGTGGTGCAAAAAAGATGAAAACGGGACTCACCATTGCAAGAGGCAGACTTGCAACACATTCCATGGTCTGCCTACGCACATATAATGCCGACATCACACAGGGCCCTGCAACGGCAGATAACACACCGCTGTCTACCGACACCCGACTGAATAACAACACGGAAAAAATTGGAACAAGCGGAAGTCGTGTCCCCTATCTGCTCCCAATGTGGGGAAAGTGCGCCACCCAGACGTGCAGACCTGGAACACTGTCTGTTGGCCTGCCCGATGGCGCTGCAAGTGTGGCAGTGGTGGGATGCGATGTGGCACGAGCTCACGGCATCGCCCTTCCAATGGAATATATCTCTCATCCTCTGGGGAAAAACAAAAAGCTTTCCTCGAGTCTGGTCGCCTTTCCAGCCAACCTATTCAAATACATGAGGCTGGCCCTTCTCATGGTTATATGGCGAATGCGCTGCTCGGCGGAACACAAGCAATACACTTTTGACCTGCACCAGGCCAAAGAGGAATTGCTCGAGGTCATCTGACAGAACCTGACGAGGGCAAGTAGGAAGCTGGCGAAAACGGTGGCGGCAACCTCGGACCAGGTGGACAGACAAAGGGCGATTATAGCCTTCAAACAAAAGTGGATAGATCCAAACCTCAAAATGGCGGATGTACAAGATGATGCTAGGCTAATATGGAAAAACTGGGCTGCAGAACAACACAGGTGGGTGTATAGGCCGGAAAACTGCTTCTTTACACCCCTGTCAGGTCACCAGGATCACGCACTGGAGGATGTCCCGTGGACCGAGGAGCAGCAGGGCCCGGCCGGGGACGTGGGTGAGGTATCCTCTTCTCCATCGCCAGCATCGCCTCCTCCTCTCCCATCCGGTCCTCCACCCCCGTTCCCGTCACCACCGCCTCCCCTACCCTTTGCCTCGCCCCCTGGGACCCCTACGCCTCCTCCCTCGACTCAGACGACCCCTCCATGGCCTACACCTTTTCCCCCCCCCATACCCCCGCCCCCGGCCCTACCGTCCCCCTCCCCATCCCATATCCTAACCTGCCTGAATGGCGGCCAGCCAGCCTGACAAAACAATTCATCTCCTGAACAGACGGCGAGTTGGAAGCCACCTGCCTCCCAGAACAGGGGATGGGAGGGCAGCGCTCCACAGTGCTTCAGGAGACACAAAGCAGATAAGAGGAGGGCGTGCTCCTGGGCATACGAACACTCAGTTTGAATGACATAAGGGAATAGGATACTAAGTGTGCATTGGGGACAAATAGGGGGCTGCCAAAACAAGGACTGGGTCAACTGCTGAGGGAGGAACTACTGGTTGGAACAGAATAATTAATGCTGGCAGGTTTTACACAATCTTTGACATTTAGGGGGCTGCTGAAATAGGGCTGGGCTTCTAGATGAGAGGTGCTCCTGAGAAGGGATGGGTGACACTAGCAGCTCCATGGGATTTTGGAGCCCCAAGTTGAGTCTGATTAGCCTGCAGCCCTGACAAACAACAAACAGCATTCTTTGTATTGTACGATGTATCAAAGGGACGCTGGACCCGGTTTCCAGCAGGTGCCGCTCCCCACCAGTAGATGGAGCCTCCCCAACGGTGCTAGATGTGTCTGCTCTTATCAGCACACCTAGCACCAGATCGGGTTGTCTTGTTGGAAAAAAAAAAAAAAAAAAAAAAAAAGGAAATCTGAAAAAAAAACTATGTACTAGTAGGAAATCCAAATCCACATTTCGCGCAGTCTTTTTCTCGTCATTGGAAATTGCTGATGGTCTTGTCTGTTGTCAAACAAGCGAGCTCTCTGTGGCTATTGGCTATTGGCTCACCAGGCGGTTCCAGACTCTTTGTGGTGTGCAGTAAAAAGTTCTGAGGCAACTCCTCTGTGCGAGATTTGCAAGGGTTGTCGCATTGAGGATTTTTTCCAACACTTGAAGGCATCAATGCAATCCGGGAGGGGGGGGGGGCTGCGCTACCGGGAGCGCTGCGCCCCGTTGGGTTGGCACTCTCATACGGGCAGTCCTGTGGCGCCCTACGGGTTGGAAACACGTGAGCGCGAAGTTGCGGCTGGGTATGACCTGGTCAGTCTCGGCATAGCGGCGCCTTCAGGGAGAGCATTGGAAGATATCGGCGTTGGGGTAGTGATAAAGTAGAGATCGGACAGCGGGAGGGCAGGAGGATGGAGCGTGACTCGGGGTTGCCTGCCTTTTGAACGCACTCTGGTGCCATCTCTTTCTTTTTTTTTTTTTTGGGAACAAGGCTCCAATCTATTCGTGGGGAGCAACACTTTTTTTTTTTTTTTTTTGGGAACAAGGCTCCAATCTATTCGTGGGGAGCAACACGTGCTGGGAACCGGGCCCAGCGTCCCATATGGAAATATACATACAATTTTGAAAATTGAGATGCCGGGGGCATTACCCGGCGTTGGCTCAGAAAAAAATGGAGCTACTTAGAAAATAACCACGACAAACTTCAGAATATGAGCAAAATTCAGAACTACTCAGAAAACCCCCCATCCATCCACTTTACCTCACTCCGGCAAGACTTACTGCAGCCGAGCCACCTTCTCCGCTGCTGCTATACCCTATTTCCATCCTATCAGCTAGCCCCCTCACTAGTAGGACGCGTGATACCCCACCATCTCCTTCCCCACTAACCTAAAAAGTTGGAGCTACTTAGGAAGTGACTACAACAGGCTTCAAGAGTAGGCAGAATTCAAAATCCAACTCAGAAAAAAAAAAAAAACATCAATCCTCTGTTCCACACTCCGGCAAGACTTACTGCAGCAGAGCCACCATCTCCGCTGCTGCTATACCCTATTCCAATCCTACCAGCTAGCCCCCTCACTAGTAGGACGCATGATATCCCTCCATCTCCTTCTCCCACTCACCTTGTTTCTTTTTAGAATAGACCGCCGGGGTCGTAAAAGAAATCTCAAGCTCCCTAACAAGCCCTTCCAGAGTTCCTCAAATTTGTCTTACTCCCTGCCGAGCTCTTCCAGGCCTCACACCCCAACTTTCTGCTTTGTGCTTCAGCATGTTGGGTGAAGGGGAACTTGCCTTTGAGAGGAGGTGGGTCTCCTTGAGAAGTTCAGCCTTCTTATGGCTTTTGCTCCTTGGTCTGCGTAGTGTTGTGGTAGGTGGTTGGTATAACGCGGCGTCGCGGACGGAAAGCAGGAGCGCGTTCTTACATGGAGCGGGAGGAGTATTGGAGGCAAAATTGAGTGCGTTGAGTTCGGTTTTTTGTATACATCTCTATCATCTGTGGCACTTCTGCTGATTACCACCAGCACCATCATCGGCGTCATCATCATTAGGGCGTTGCTCGTCACCATCATCATCAACAGGGTGTGGTTCGACATCATCATCACGGTAATGGTTTGTCATCGTCATCAGGGTGCTGTTTGTCATCACCATCATCATCTTTAGGGTACTACTGCTCGTCATCATCATCAAGGCATACGTCTATACGGCGTGGTTGGCAAAGCTTGACGTCATCATAGGGCGTTGGTCATCCCTATCATCATCATTATCATCATCATCATCCACATCATCATCATCATCATCATCATCATCATTAGGTTATCAACCAAGGATCATCCAAGGTGTGTGACAAACCACTTTCTTAGACCACGCAATTTTCTGCGTGAAGCTGGTTGGGGGAATACGACGGGTCGAAGGGGTGAGTGGTGGGCAGACAGGTTGGTTGGGCAAGTTCCATGGATGCCCTCACTTCTTTTTTGTTTTTTGGAACTCGTTGGGCCGGGGCCAGGAAAGTCCCGCGCCGACGATTGGGTGACCACGCCATAGCGAGCGCGAGAAATAACGGTTGCCATAGCTACTTTCTTGTTCTGCTGTGAGCACTAGGAATTTTGGCGCGATTAGCGTGCGGGAATTTTTCGTTTTTGAAATTTGAGCTAATGTCGAGCCCCCGCGGGCTCTTAGAATTGTTTTTCTTTCAGAATTTCCTTTTGCAATTAGGTTTAAGACTACGAATTTAAGCACCTTGCAATTTGGTTGCACGACGCTTCTTGCTCGCACGCGCCGTGCCCCGACAGGGTCTGGGCTCCGATTTCCATCCGCGCCTTACTCTTGTGTGTAACTGTAGTTTTTGTCGGGCGCAATCGCAACTGTAATCTTCTTGTTCTTGATGACCTTTGTGTTTCCTTCTTTCCCGCCTCGTCTTCGCATGCACACTCTCTTCCTTTGTTGTAAGTGGTTCCCACGTTTGCACGCCCCAATCGATGCGCGGAGAGTGGCTCCGTCCCCCGCGCCACGGCCTGGACATGCAGACGTAGGCACGTCCTCTCTTCTTTTTCTCATCACTTGGGGCTAATCCCGTATCCCTCG